GTCTTCAAATCTTCTGGTCTGGTCCAATTTTCTCTTGTCAAGTTCGGACAGGAGTCCTCACTACTGCATCAGTCAGCAGCCACCTAACTATACAGACATTACAAGTTACACACTTGTCTCAAAATTAAGTGTAAGAGGTAAAATTAAGAATTCAGATTTTTCTTACCTGATATTCATCTAGAGACTCTAGATGAATATCAGGTGAGAAAAATCTGAATTCTTCATTTTACCTCTTACACTTAATTTTGAGACAAGTGTGTAACTTGTAATGTCTGTATAGTTAGGTGGCTGAGTGAGTCTTTGAATCTCCAGGTTTGGTCTGATTCAGTCCTCTCTTGTCAGGTTTAGAGAGAAGTCACCAGTACTGCATCAGTACTGCCAGGCACCTAACTGTACAACATTACATGTTACACACTTGTCTCAAATATTAACAAGAAGCCATAGGTAACAATCCTCCGTGAAGTTTTACATATTTAAACAAAATCCCAAGCGTCAACGCCAGACCTACTGTGCAGACATTATATTAAATTAGGCAACGGTTAATACAATGAGGGCGCGTCACAACCATAAAACATACAAAGAGCTAAATCCATTACTGCTCCCAGGGCGTGTAAAGATACTGTGCTTCAAGTTCGAAGTTCATTTTAATTACACACACACAATCATTGCATTCACATAACTAGAGCTCCCCGATCTCATACCTTCGCCAAATGATGTTAATCTTTATGGCTGACAAATGATATAGATTATTCCCCCTGCTTGTGCAAATAGGATCCTCTTTCTTATGAATTTTATCAGTTTATCATATTCTCAACCAAAAGACAGTCTTATATTAACAAACAATGCCATTCTAGCATTTCCTCATAAATTATGCAAATGAGGTCCTGATTTGAATACATTATGTTTAATGATGTTCACCTTCACTGTACTTTCAAAGACCATAAATATGAAATTCCAGGCAGTTATCATTACAGAATTATAACATTTTCTCATTAATTATGCAAATTAAGTCTTCATTTACATAATCAATATCTGCCTGTGTTTATCTCGTTCAAAATTACCAATGCGACAAGCTTCCATAGTCCTATGATGGAATGCAGCTGATTTATAGAATTTCTCCATAAATTATGCAAATTACATCCATATTTGCATAATTGTCACATAATTATATTAAGCATCACTTAAGCTACCTGCATACCAAAAATCACGACGATCCGTCAACCGATTCTTGAGTTATTCTCTTTTGAATATATTCAAACAGATAGTCCTGCAGTTTCAGAGCAAGCCGCTAGGGGGCCCAAACTCACGTCACTTCTTTCCCAGCACAAGAGCTACGTGCCATCTGAATTTCGTCACCCTAGCATATCTGGATCATGAGATATCAAAACCGGAAGTTCAGCTGCAGTACCGTAACAAGCTGCTAGGGGGCCCAAAATCTAATCATTTTGAGGTCTCATTAAGACCTACCCACCTACCAAGTATCAAGACAATCCATCAAGGCCTTCTCAAGTTATCGTGTTTACAGACACACACACACACACACACACGCATACACGAACGCCTCTGAAAACATAACCTTCTTGGCGAAGGTAAAGATCGGACTATCATGGTCAGCCCCACCGTCCTACCGTGCCTGTACCTAATTAAGCGCGCCTGGAGTTGCCGTAATCACCGCGAGTGTTACTACCGTCGGCCAGATAACCAGGATATCTGCTTACAGTACCTCTGCTACCAGACAACTGCCTAAACCTACGGCCTATTCCACAGGATTGTAAAAGTAGGATGTTTCTAAAATATGCATTTACTCCAATATCAAAACAGCTACGGTAAAAATAAAAAGACGTGCATCATCCCGGACATAATGCAACACCACATGCGAAATTACACAGATATGCGACGTACGGCAGAATGCGTTCTGGCTGCGAACATCTTCCAAAAAACTTGGCATCTCTTAACCATGGGCAAAAACATCTGGAACCACTTATAAAACCACCCCGTATCTGCATGAACTTTTACCTCCCCCCCGCTATTCCAAACAACGCGTTTTTCTGGACCGTTCCAATTCGCCTCGTAATTGTAGGGGTGCGTCTGCGATATTACATTGACCGCGAAAGCAGCAACGGCAAAAATACACATTCGTGCATCAACACGGGCATGCCCGCAGACGGCGTATCAAATTGCGTGCCGATTACACAAAGAGAACCCAGTGTTTTGACTGCGAACATGAAAAATCAGCCGATTACAACACTCCGTCCGGAGGTCCTGACCTCCTTCACGGAGTAACAAAGTAAATGCTGAGTAAAATGCAGAATTCAGATTTATCACCTGATAGTCATCTTCAAATCTCCACATCTGGTCTGGTCTGGTTCGATCTTCATTTGTCAGATTTAGACAGAAGTCATCAAAGAAACACGGGAAGATCATCCAGGAATATAGCAGGAACAGTCAGGATAGCTGACAGGTCCCACTGCACACACAGAAACATGGTCAGGTCCCAGGCCACAGTACAGCATTCCCATTTATAACCTACGGTGTAAAAGAAAAACTCATATAGAAAAATTACATGACAAATTTGCACACACGAATACATGTACATTGTTACAGTAGTATTCAATCGAACTCCACAGCGAGCACATCATTCTTTGTTTTCAGTGCTCGTTGTGGTATCTGGTTAAGTATGGCAGAAGGAGGAGAAAGTTTTGAAGCGAAAATGCTAAATAATGGCCAACAACAGAGCCATCCTGAACCATGTGTCCACCATGATGGACAAGAAGTTGTCAGACCTGAAAAGGTCTTACGAGGAGTCAGCAGCAGCTGTTTGAGATAAAAAAGCTGAAGACCACCATGGCCAAGCCGACCTTCAAGAGGAAGGGAAACGAGGAGCAGTATAAGTTTAATTCTTCCGATGCTAGAGAAAATGGCACAGAATATATAACTATTTTTTTTCTATAAAATTCATTGAAAACGTTTCTTAAACCCGCATAACGAATCCTCAAATTTCCGCCCCAAATGTGGCGTTTCCCATGCCGTATTTTGGCGGGAAAACTGAGCCATTCCCGAATGTCCATCACAATTAGAAGCTCAACCAATGAGAGAATGGCAATTACAGGTTTGACCAATGAGAGAGTGGCTGCATGTCCGTCAGATATTTGCATTTCTATATGTTTTGACAGAAGTGGGCGGGGCTTCAGGATCGGTACTATTTATGCCCACGTGCGGCACATTCCACCAGGTGGGACGAACACCACGTGGCTACAAACAAAGAAATAGAAGTTTTCTCCCTTATTTCTCCCACAAATGTCAACTAATCTTTAATAAATATAATATATTGCAGCGAAAAAAACATAATATAGTTTGCACAAACAAGAAATAACCCAGAGCGCCTAAGACGTGATGTATCTTGTATTATGTAACGTTAGATGAAATAAATATTGAACAAAACATGGACATTACTCCTCAGCCTGCTCTCAACTTGAAATTTCAACTCAGAATTTGAAGAATTACGACAGATTAGACGGGCCCAAATTCACCATGTAATAAGTAGTTCTTGGAAACTGATTATTTGACGAAAAAGTTCCTTGGCTTGTCTTACCTAGTGATGTTGTATGCGACATTGTGAACGTCTTCACACGGCCAACTTGCAGTCTCGCCATTTTGTTGTCTCGTCCAAAGTCCATCAGGTCAGGAAGCACCGAGGAAGCACGCATTTGTCTCCTCAAAAGAGTCAAATATCCAGAGAACGGTAAAAATTCATAGAGGAAAGAAACTTGAGAAGAAGGCGCGTGAAATTCTCTTGAAAAGTTGCAAAAAATATCGGAAACCTCCACGCACGACAACACGCGAGTGACGCGACATCAGCAATAGAATGAGCGAATTAGCGGGAAATACCAACTGCGATTATCAAATAGGGGTGCAAAGGGGACACAAATGGCAACTTGAAGAGTGAAGGTATTCAACAGAGAGAAGCTTTGTAAGACTGAAATACTGGCAAGTTTATTCTGCATCCTTTGTCTATGTCTGTTTTTTTCTTCAAAAACCTATGCTGGAAACAGACAGGAAAGATATATGCCGGTCCGCCTCGCTTGCAGTTTGAACCACCTGTTGTTAAAATCGCCATGGATCAAAAGCGCCCCTAGGTGGCCATAAACAATCACTGCAGTAATAGGAGCGGCTCAGACAACATTATGATGCAGTACTACATTGAACTGCTAGAGATCGCTCGTCCCACTTGTTTCGGACTGGTTTTCAGTGGGAAGCTCAGCGATCACATGTATAGCACCTCACACGGCAAGTCTATGTTCGCAGATATGGGAGAATTATCCTCTAACAACGAATTAACAAGTTAATTAGAATTTGGAAATTTACACTGAGCTCAGCAACAGTTCTCGGAGTGTTTACCTGTAAGTGGATGGCGTTCAGCACCAAGGACAGGCGCGTTTGTATGCGGCTAGCGCGCAGCACAAGGTAGGTAGTGTGTGTGCGCGCGTGTGCGTGTCTTTAGGTCTTGATGATGATTAAATGATAAGATTTCTGCCCGCCTGCTATATTACTAATGCTAAAAGATTTTAAACATTCAGAACAACAAAATTTCTTGTTCCTACTTTATTTTAGCAATGTACAACAACATTCTCAACATCAATTTTTAATTCACAAATCAATGATATGTAGTATTATAGGTAACGTTAACTCTTATTAATCAAATGGATAATCATGTATTAGTTAACATCATTACTTACATCATTTATGACTAATATAATAGCAATCAATGAACATTAGTTACATTGTTGTGTTTGATAACAATGGCTTTAACAGTGTTTTCACAACCAGAACTTTTATTAACTCAAACTAAAAGTCAAAGGCTATAGGCATGTACTAAGGCAAAAAGATTCTAAACATTAGGAACAACAAAATTTCTTGTTCCAACCTGATCTTATTTTGACAATGTACAACAACGTTCTCAACATCACTTTTTTTTATTCACAATTGAATGGTATGTAGTATCAAAGGTAACTCTTATTAATCAAATGGAGGATTTTGTACTAGTTTACAACATTATGTACATCATTTATGAGTAATATAGTAGCAATCAATAAACATACTTAAGTTACATAATAATTGTGTTTGATAACAATTGAAAATTGTAGCCTACTGAAAGAAATGGGTTAGGCTACAGAAGGCAAAAAGCAACAACATACCAAAAATCCAAGCAACACATATATTTTGTATCCAAAGTTTATGAAACATTCAGTGCTTGTCTTGTTTATTGTAAGGAACAATTTTTCCTTTTACATTTTTCTGTGCTGAATTAAGCTATTCACAACAGGTTTCCTGCTAAGACATTAAAAAATGGATCAAGTCTCCTTTTAATGCTTGATGTTAACAGCTAGAATGGCAAACAGTCTGTGAAGACATTATCTATCTCTAGCTAAAAAAACACTCATCAAGACAAAATATTGTTCAAAAGTATGATGGGAGAATGTTATGCAGTACTGTGTACTGTTAGTATGTTTTTGTCAGCACTGGTCAATTCCAAAGCAAAGAACAGTGTATGAGCCAATCTTTTTTTTTTAGATAATACAAATTCTGCCGCAACATTGATGCTAGTTAACAAAGATGCAAACATAGTAGGTATTTATATACAGATGTATACAGAATCAATCATTCTGGAATTGGTGCATTGTGGCTATAATGTATCTGTATCTACAAACAAGCAACTCATCATATTCTTATCATTCGTGTGTTAAGAAGTAAAAGCAACTTACAAAACTCAATCGAAATAATCAAGTCAACAAAAGAAAATAAGAAAATGAGAAATAAGTCTCAGTTTCCGGTAGAGATATATAAAAGTGTTACTTATAATACTTGGCAATCTATTCCATCGTGCAATTGAAGAAACGTCAAAAACTTCAGAGATGTTGTTAAACATTTCTGCCCCGCAGAATGCTGTACTATGTATATCATCAAGATATGGTAGGTGCTTTGTACATGCGTGCCATAGTACACATGTGACCCTGCACTGCATAACAGGGGATAGTTGGCAGGTTGGCCTTCAAGTCTCTCCAGGAGAGCCAAGCATCGTCAGACCTGTCATAGACAAGGACAAGACTGTCCTCTTCCTCCCCCTCTTGTACCAAATTGTTATCAGGCTCTATCCATATGTGCAGCTGGTTCTCTAGTACAAAGAGGTAGGGAGGAGTGATTACAAGGTTCCTAGGGTTAAGCCAGGGTTCACGTGTCTCCCAGCTGTCTGACTCTGTGCCGTACACCATGATCTTGCTGAAGTCGTCGTCTGTGCAAAAGATTTCTGTCCCCATGGCAACGGCTGTGCAGATTTTAGGGATGGTTCTCGGAGGGGTCCTGGCGTCCCACTGGTCGTGGCTTGGGTCGTAGCGGTGCACTTCTGAGTTCGTGAGGAAATAGATGTGTGAACGGTAGGGCACTGCAACAGAGAATGTTACCAGACGTTCTCCTTCGACAATTTGCAGCTGTGAACACTCCAGCCATTCGTCCGTGTCCCGGTTGTACCTTCTCGTCCACACCAATGTACTCATTTCCATCCAGAAACCGGCAGTTTCCACGGAGAGGAGGTAGAGATGTCCTTCAACTTCAACAAAGAATTTTTCATCCCAAATCCGTGTCGTATTGGGGACATACCGGCATTCTCCCACTCCTTCCACGCCTGGTTGTACTCGAGCACAGATATCTGACGATCATGCAGCTCATTAATAAGGATGTACATATCATTGTTGCTGGTAACTGTCATGCCTGCCACTGAAGCAAATGCATTGCCCTCCTCAGGGGGAGGCAAGCTGATCTTGGTGTATTTCCCTTCCCTGGGGTTAAAGCAGAGAACCTCGCCGATCCTGAAATGGGCAGATTACAGTTTTTGGAATAATGTTATGAGACCAAGACCAATGCCATGTATTGTTGTGCATCTCAGAGACTGGGAAATGACATTACAAAATCATCTTATCTCCCGTTCTATATGGCCCTCGAGCCACAGTTACATGTGCATTTTTTTTCTGTAAGGCCAAGTGAGGTAAGGTAAGATCTTTGCCCGCGTGGCTCTGGCTAGGCTACAAGTACTAGCTGACCGGGTATACCCAGAGGCACAGTGTGGATTCAGAGCAGGGCAATTTCAACTGTCGACATTCAAGGCCATGTTGATTTGATTAATATAGATGACATCCACGCACAATCGTTTTCGACCATACTGTAAACCATACAAAATGAGCTTACTAATATATATTGTATGTTGCAAACAAAAGTATTGGAAAACGATAGGCATGTTATTGAATGTCGAAATCAATTCAAGAAACAAGAATATATGTGACGAAATGAAAATGCATGAAGAGTGTATCATTCACCACGCCATACACTGTATGTTTAGTCATTTGTTTAACCTTTAGGACCATGAAGATTTCACAATGAAGGAAACTTTTTTGCCAAACTTATTTCATTCGCAGCCAAACTTTTATTCGCATGCTTGAGTCACTTTTGAGGTTCCCAGAGGATGTCATCCATATAATCAAATCAACATGGCCTAACCTGAAATTTAGCAAAATTTCAGAAAGTTTAACTGCAATTTGGGGAACTTTCTGTAAACACTTGAGCTGGTAAGAGTACAAACCTCCAAATTTTCAATGACTATCAGTCCATATTGGGGGAGAGCCCAGCAGACCATTATGCGAGTCTCACTCACTGGCCTTGCGAGCTTAGGCCACTCTGTGAACAAGTAATGATAGTCATCAAAATATGGAGGTTAGTACTCTTACCCTTCAAAAACTTGTCACTACTGAAAGAATTTTCTAGTAATGATATAAAAGAAGAAATAAATGATTTTGATACACAAACATCAAAAGACAGGCCATTTCCAGTGTGTCCATCCCAAATCTCTTCTTCAAGGTGGAAGATACCACACTCCTGATGACCTGAATACTCCCAGGATCCTCCCTGACCAGGGGGTGGTTCAAGATGGCTGCCGTGTCATCTGAGGTCAGCAGGTTGAAGCGGATGTGAGGGAGGATGCTGGGTAGGTGGTGCAGTCTGTAGGGTAGGGGAAAGGTAAGATAAAGAGAAGCTGTTTTAAATGCTTGAAGTATGACACAATGAC